TATCTGTCGCTCTCCAATTCCGATTGCCGCGTTTTCAGTCCGTCCGTCCCTCTGAATTGCACTTGATAAGCATTGAGACACGAGTCGCTCCAAAATCTATCTGTACCATTCCATGAACCAACCAACTCCTTCCCCCATCCATCCTAACTACATCACCTAACCTATCCGACCGATCAGGTAGATGGGTTTTGCCGATGAGATAAAAAAAACACCAAGGGGACGATTTTTATTGTGAAGTGATTGTTTGAAAAATCTCGTCAACAAACACGAACATTGTTGTCCATCACTGTTTGGTCCGCAATGGCGAGACCACTCGAAGGATTCGTGTGTGTGTGTGTGTGCCATGTATGCACCGGCCACAAGGAATGATTTGATACGCATACGGGGTGGCGGTGCACAGAGATGTGAGCAAATCAGAAAGATTGATAAATACAATCTACACGCGCGTCAACTCATTGTTGTTGTTGTTGTTGTTGTTGTTGTTGTTGTTGTGGTCGTGGTCGTTCAAACAAGTATTTTTTCCACTCACTCTCTCTCCCTCGCTCAAAGTGGACTTAACCTGAAAATGAAGTTCGGTCTGTGAACAATTTATTTGCGCAAAATTTTGCAAATTACTTGCCCCTGTATGATGAAATTATCGTCCCGTTTTTGTGGTGTCTGTCGAGAATTTGCAGAGTACGCGAGTATGCGACCGAGGTATTCAATTTAACCGATTAATTTTAAATTCACCAAAACACTTCAATTCGAGCTAATTTTATGACCGACAAATGTGATATTTTGTTTCATTTTATCTTATCCCGTTTTGTAGTTATAAACTTTGAAATCAAAAACACATTCTAATCTTTGATTCAGACATGAACTATCGGGCTTACTCTCCTCTTTTGGATGGACCGAACTCAATTGATCTGACCGATCCCGGAGGGACATTCTGCATGCAAGATGCCAATGGGATGACCGTGGACAAACGTCATGCAACCTTGATCAATCCGCATCTGTACTCGGTCGGCAGTCTGATCAAATGTGATCCACTAGAGCCATCTCATGTGGAGCTATACATTCCTTCATCGGAACCAGCTGTGACAAGTACAACCGGTCACTATTTGTCCGGTGAACAAGTTACATTCTATCGCCCGATCACGGCACACGAAACGTCAACCCCGACACATGGAGATGTTCTTCATCACTCGAATCAAACATTCACCCTGCCCGGTACAACAAAATACTCATTGGCCACGAATGGACAATCTGGTCAGGCGCATTTGGACGGTG